TATATATATGGACCGGCAAATTGAGTACCGGCGAAACTCGAACCTAGAACACCCCAGTTTGCAAGTTGTCAGCTCCGATCATGCAATACACACCACTTTTCCCCACGACTGTGAGTTCTTGATAGAGCTCATGTGACCAGCTAATCCAGGGATAGGGTCATATAATCAAATCCCTTCTTAGATTTAACAAACTACGAAAGGACACTTGATCACTGAATTTTATTCTGAAAGAGATGAATTAAATGGCCATTTGTGTCTCTGTGTAGTGGTGTAGTATTTCTTTCTCTAATGCGGAATCTTCTCATTTTCCATCGGTTAATTAGCGGCCTAACTTTGTTAGGCAGCTCCTCATTATCGTCTAATTTGGTGCTTTGCCTTACTGGCTGGACGTTCATTCAGTCCAAATTAATTACTTAGTTCCTCCACCGTGTTCTGGGTTCACCGGCTTCTTCTGTGTGATTTTGTTCCGTTTTTTTATGTGTAGTGCTGAGCTTTGTGATATCGAAGTTCTGTTGTCCTTGGCATTAGATAGACTGGGCCGATTTCGGCATGCTGCTGAACGCTTTTTCGGCAAAGTACCGCGCTTCCATTAATTTTTTGTTGCTTGGACCCCGTCCTAGCCACATACCCCCTGATATTCGCACATGGAGACAAGCGAAAACTGGTCATGTTTTTGCGCAGTCAATTCGAGCTCGTTTACTTTGACGGAAAGTCTCCTTTCTGTTTGTCTGGTCTTCACCGGAGTATTCAACTTCTTTTCTGGCCTTGATGACGCTGTCAACAAGATGATCACCGACTCTCGGGCAACCCTTGTAGTGTGCTGTCTAACAATCATCTAAGAAATGTTATTGATGTATAGAAGTATGAGATCTTAGCGAAATACACTCATTTGCAAACTAATTTGGCTCTGCGAGAGACTCACCTGGAATCCCAGCTGAATCACTCGGTTTTAATGTTTCAAGGAAACTGATTGTGCTGCACCAGGCCCCCTCATGTTTCAGTCGCTAGGATATTGGATATAATGCGAGACATATATATTTGCAATGCACTACTCAGAAGGTTGTTGAACACTGCTTGACAGCCCACGGCTGGCTTCGCCCTTCTTGGGGCTCATCAGGTAGGCACAGTCCCCGAGTTTCCGTCAACTTTATGTTCTACTTGATCTGCTTGTCTTCTAGTTGGGTTGAGTTGCGTTGAGTTGGTTTGGTTGGGTTGGGTTGATTGGTCTGGTTTGCTTATGTTTTGCCGCCTAAAGTTTATTGGGTGTCTATTTCTCTGAGAAAATCCTTGTACAAGAGACTTTTATCTCGGATCTTGGGTCCCATGGTGTGGCAGTCATGCTTCAATGTGTCTGGATGGGATAAGTGGCCCCCAATTTTGGCACCATTTATTACAATTACCTTTTAGTATACCACGGTTCAGTCTGCCCATCACGTTGATTCACTTATCTTGAGAAGAATGGTGGTAGGCGCGGAAGACGCGGACTTGTTGAAGCTCTGACAAATTTCTTATCGATTCAGTATGGGGGGAACAATAACTTAGGGGCGTGACACATTGTTCCGCAGAGTGTATTCTGCGTAATCGACAATGACCTAATTGACCAGGTCTGAATGGTCAAATGATCAACCCACTTGTTCATCTTTCGTGTCATCATCCATGAGACTAAAGCGGTTTCGATCTTTTTCTTAGATAAGACACGTTGCTTATGAAGTTGTTGAAAGCGCCTTGACAACCCACTGTGGGTTTTGCCATTCTTGGTGCTCATCAGGTAAGCGCATTCTCCAAGTTTCCACAAAACTCACGTTCTACTTATCCACTGCACACACCCAGTTTCCATTATGCCAATCATCTCAGTGTATTAATATCGGGCTGACTGGAAGATGACGCCGGAAAAGGGCAAAACCGTTTATAGCAATTTTATCAGTAGTGTGCCCTTAAGAAACAAAACGATCTCTGACATCGATTGCCTAGGCAATATTGCAACTATCTACCATATGTTGGCGCTATCGCGATCAATCCGATGATACAATTTTGGCTGAATCCCCCCCCCCAAATCATCGGTGAATGAACCTGCGGCAGCTACAACTACTGTACGACGAGTACGCGGTTAATACAGCTAACAATGATGATGATAATGATGTGGTCAAGATAACAAAGGAAAGATTCCTCCCTCTCCCGTTTTCTTAGATGTGGCCTCCCAGTGACTGCCTTTTGGCGCCGCGCTTAACGGATTCAGTTATTTCTCAGACTCCGATGATGCCGGTGTTAGTGATCGGATTCTGACTAATTTCTAAAAAAAATTACCACTTGTACACTAGACCACAACTGTTTCGATAATTTCCATAAAATGATAATGAGTGTGCCTTCTAACAAGTTCAAAAGACCAGGTTGAGAATTCACCTTACTCAACCATGTACTTACTGTGTACACTCAGTTCAGCAGGCTTCACACCACATATCCTAAAAGGGACTAAAAGGCAGACTCCTCAAATTAACCACAGAGAACCGTCACTTCCTCCAAAACCGCTTCAGGAAGTCTGCTGAGCCTACAGGTCAGAATAGCTGGCTATCGATTGAAGGAGTGGGCAGCCAGCGACTGACGATGCTTGAGTGCTCAGGCGCAACCTAGAAGCGATGTCAACCACCATTGACTCGACATTGATCCAACAGCTTTGAGTATAAGTTAGAAGTGCGCTTTACAGTACAGACGACCTGCAGTTTTGCACTCACCTATTCGCAATGAATTTGTTGTGTTCCGGTTGCGTACATCTTTTCCACCGCAAACCTTTTGTAGCGGGGGCTTGCAGTCAGTTACTACAACCAGGTGTTATCACCCAGGTAAATGTGAATACATCTGTCCAATCACTTCCGGATGTGTGAAATCAGACTTGTGGAGGCTCATTTACACTCATTGGTTGGAGCTCAAATGGGATGCGATGTGGTACCCGCAGATGCAATTCAACAATACGTTTGCTCTAACACAGCTAATTTCACGGTAACGACCACTGCAATGTGTGATTTGTGTGAGGAAATTGACTTGATTTAAGCATCTGCCTAACGCAAATGCAAAGCAAGACTGTTTGTGCAGTACCCTGAGTGACGAAGGATGACGATGCCATCAGAAAGACCGATGGTACAACAAGGACACATTGCATAGACGTAATACCCATAAAATTGCTGGAAACTCTTCGGCCTTACGAGTAATGTATTAGCTCTTTACAATGTATCGCGATATCTCGAGTATCGTTCCAACTAAAACAGATGAGGCAGCCCAGTACAACACATTCGGTTGCTTAAAAATATCATAGACGAAAGATTCAGCTTAAAACCAAATTGGTACGCAAATTAGTGTGATTCTCCAAGGACAACGTTTTTATTTTCGGTGTCGTACTTTAAGTTGTCCACTCTGACACTGCTTTCAGGATCGCATTGATTACGCTTGTCTCCAACTTACCCATCGCCTTCGGTCAAGTGTTGAAGGTTAAAACAAATACAACGGTTTGGACAAGTTTACTGATGAGGTTCCTAGAGAAATCCTGGAAAAATAGCCCAGGGCCCTTTGTGAGATTTCAGAATTTCTCCATTTTCCGCCGTGAGGCCTGCATTTCATTAGTGTTCCAAACAGACGGTCAAGATTCGAGCCATGTCGAACATTGTGTTGATTCAGAGCCAACTATCCATTCTCCTTTTTTCTTGTGAAGCTTTAAGCAACCGATGTTCCTACACTGCATTACGATCAATATGCGATCAATACAGTCCCTAGTGATGACTACTTGGTGGTGATATCCAACCTCCAAACAACCAGCCTGGATTGCTTACAAATCTGTCTCGCCATCCCGATCCCGTTTATTACTTTCTCCACATGTCCATTTGGAAGGAGGAACTGTGTAAAGACGGTTAAAAACAGTGCTGTTGCGTGAAACAAGCGTCACCGGGTTCGATTTTCCAAACCGCTAAGCTAATTTGTGGGCAGTACAAAGGTGAACTCTGCGATCCGTGTCACGATTCTCGGGGTTCTTAGTGCCAAGACAGATAAACTGGAACTGAGAGCACAAAATCTCATCTGTACTTTAAGTTAACTTTCACCCTGAAGGAACTGTATTCTTTCTGTTGCTAAGTCACATCTGCACTTCTGGTGACATGACCTATTAATCAGCTTCTCAGGTCACTTACGGGTTGTTAACCACAATTCACTTACCTGATGGTCACAAGCTGACCAATATCCAGGTTGAAATCGTTCACCTGAGCGATGAAAATACTAGCAACAGCTTCATACAACGCGGTCCCATCCATGTTCATTGTTGCGCCAATCGGCAAGACAAACCTGGTCACACGGGTATCAATTTGAAGCCGTTCCTCCAAACACCTGGAGAGGGGGAATTTTCAGAAATGGTGAATAAGGTTCTGAGAATTGCCTTGGAGAGGAACATTGGCCAATAAACGAACTAACCAGAGAGGTTGAATGAACTATTTCACTATCTCGTTTGTACAGGATTTATAAACTGGAAGCCAAATGAGAATACCTCACTCGTGACTACCCACGAAGCGGACCAAGAAATGTGCCCAGCAAGCGGGCCGTCCTACCAAGCTCTATGAGCTTTCGTATGGGTATTTCTTATTCATATAGGCTGTCATATGCCCCGACCAACTTGCAGTAGATTTTTGGTTCAGCGAGACGCATTGCTTTGGTGGTTCTCAAAAACTGCTTTCTGGTTTTCAGTGCAAGTTCACCTTGCCTGGAAGTACGAAATCCACAAATTAAGCTTCGATATCTTCTTCTCATTTACATTCTGTTTTCAGCCAATTTACTAGATTTGCTCATAGCACATGAAGCATCATCCTTCTGGTGTCAGTAGCCGGCATTGGTCAGACGGAGCACGGGGACAAGTGCCTTTCTGTCGATTACCGAGCCTTCCGCCTCCGACTCCCTTTAGTGTTAGGACGGCCCTCCTACCGTTTTTACTATTTCCAAGGGATATCGACCAGTTGGCTCAGGATTTCTGCTTTCATGCTGTTTAGTCTATGCCTTCGAACTTTATACTGATTGAATCAACGGTTCGCGCACTATGGCATCATCCAACCTAGTCACTCCCGAGAAACCACTTGCAGTTTCAAACTATTCCATTAGTTTCATCTCTCTCCCTGTCTCTGAGACGGAAGCTATGGTGATAAAATCTCACGACTCTAACGAGAACAGGTTGTTTTATGATGTGTTAACCTACAGATGATTTTGTTCGAAAACCAAGATTGTCATCGACCTTGACCTCAATAATATGGTGAAGGATACGCTAACAGGGCAGAAACTTTTTGTTTCATCCACTGTACAAAGCAACGGATGTTTAGTGACCTCACTAGTAGCAAAAACCGATACTGTTTAGAATAGATCAATGTCAAATTCGCTGAGGTGCATTCTGATGGAATGTTCCGGAGTGAAAATCATATAGTCCCAGTAAAGTCTGTCCGTTAAAATGGGGAAAAAGTTTATGCCCCATGGCTTTGAGTGTGCCTGTTTTTCATCGACCTCGCCTCCTCTGTTTTACTTGTACTGCAGTAATTTGTCGCCACCAAGCCAAATGGATGTCTATCTTAACCTGTGCAACAGTTGGTACACCAATATAAATTGAGGTTGGTGTAGATCTGGAGATTAGGCCTAGTTGAGGTACGGCAAAAAGGATGGAAATGGCAGTAAGCAGTCCGTCATTCTCATCCATCTTAGGAAATGCATTGAAATAATGAGTATACCCTTGGAAATGATCAGTAGTACTATTGGTTTAAAAAAAACTTGTAATAAGATGTTCAACTTTTCTGTACTCCTAATGTTTATGCATCAATGACTGTCACCTAAGAAGTACTTTCTCGTGTGTACACTTTGGCTGTTGGGACAGAACAGCTCCTGTACCTGTTCGAATAGGGCCATCATTCGTTCAAAGAAGCCAGATACGTAAAAAAGGAGTCAGTATATCAGTGAGAGAGAGCTGTGGTTTCCAGATGTGCCTCTAACGTAAGTGCAGTAATCACAATCCTCGTCTTCAGCTGTAAAAGTGGCGTACTTGTTACGCAGTGTCATAGCTGTCAGAATTTAGACAAGGGATGATGCGGGGAGGTGGAATTAGATAGTCAATGGACTTATCACTATGTACATCAAGAGGATGAGCTGTGAATTGAAGGCTACAGCTTGGAACCATGCGAGCGCGCGACTGGACCATGTCTGACAATATCTCTGAATACTGGTGTGTCCCGCCTCAGCGGTCCCATCCCGGTAGACGGCAATGACCAGTGCAGTTGAGACTCCTGTTAGTGGCTTGCCTAATTCGTTGTCAATTCATTGCTTAACCTCCCCTGGTTTGTTTTCACCCTTCACGTGGTTGTGCGAAAAAGGCCGTTGAAGGAAAGCGGGCTTACGGTGCATGTGACCAAGCCAGCACAACCTACGGAGTATCTATCACGGGCGAGTTATTTCGTCCTAAAAACCACCCGTAGTCGCTGACTTAAGAACATGAAATCAAACATTGTTCCCAACTTACCGAAAAGTGATTGGTAATGTAGCAGAACTGGAAGCCGTACCAAGAGCAGTAAAAAATGCCGGTAGCATTGCACCGAAAAGGGTGTAAGGGTTCTTGCGGGTCATAGCCAAGTAGATCAGCGTTAGGATGATGAAGAGGTGAATGATTAGACCCGCCGTGACAGTGGCCATGAATAAGCCAAGTCCTCTGATGGCACCCAACAGATCAGGCAATTCCAATATTTTTCCCATCACCAGGAAGAAAATACCCAAAGGAGCGTACCTAGATGGTTAATAGAAAAAAAGTGATTGGATCTATAGCCGCGTGCATCGTAAAAAAACGATTTTGTATGTATCTGCCAACGAAATACTCCGGAAAACACTTTCGAGCAAATCTGAAATGTTTTGCACTGCAGTTTTGTTCCTTTGTGGGAAAAAGACCCATGGGAAATGCATCCCATTCCTTCTGGAATTTCGTTTGTACCCGCTTTGTTTTCGTGAGCGTGAGAGAGAATTTCCAACTCCGCCCAAATTGCCTGTTCCAGACGAACAGTATTTTCGCATATCTGTGGTGAATTGTTAGCCACTCGCGTTACCAATTTACGCTAATTTTAACCAGAATGAATAAAAACAAACACCTGCTCGACAGTGCGTTGATGCTGCTTCGTTTTGGATGGCGACGATGCATTGGCAACCCAATTGTCAGACTCCAAACAGGTGAAAAAAGGCGGAAACAAGCTGAGCTGCTAATATTCCTCATTGCCGCCAAATCTATTCAAGAAGTCTAGTCACATGGTCCTCCTCATTTCCCTAGCACGATAAGAGGCGAAGAAAACAGCGGCAATTTTATGGAACTTGAGCAGTTTTGCGTTAACCTTATCGCTTTTACGCCATCCTTGAATTGTACTGATCAGTTGTGCTGCTTGCGCATCCACGCCTGAATTATTGGCTGAGCCCGATAGGACCCAGTCACAAAGATTGCGTCAAATCGGTGGGTTAGTGCCTGTGTACCAGGACATTAAGTTTGTTTTGTTCTTCGTTGCTCGCAAAACTTCAATAGAAGTTGATAACAGGTTTGTAAACAGATGGGGATACGTAAGAACTATTACCAAATTCCTACTCGGTATCATTTTCTTGAGAACACAGTGAATCTGGAAAAAGATCTCATGTCTAAAAGATAAAGGTGAAGTCTTGGGTGAAGCCGGATATGGATTTGGGAAGTTTCTGTAGACAGAGGTTCTGGTGGACAAGCGTATTCTGGCACTACTTGCATGGGTAGACAGCTTTGCAGTTTTGCATGCAGGGTGTGAGAGGGGTTTGCAAACGCCTCTTTACCAGCGCCTAGAAGAACGCTTGCACTCTTTCCGTCGGAATCTCGTCAAATACCTTAGTTGATACCACGGAAATATTTCGCAGCCCCGCTTGAATTCCCGCCACACGCTGGTGATAAACTCTCAGAGTGGTGTCTGACAGCTAAGGCTAATATCTTTGGGAGTAAGAGAATTTCACCTTGGCAGCTCCTTCTGCGGACTACATCAGGCAGAAATTACCCTCTCTTCGGCACTGAATTTGATGCCGCTTTTTATCGAAGAAATGTGTCCTGTTTGGTTTAAGGTAACATTACAAATTGACCTGCAAACAGCGTTTCCGTTTTTGCCTTAGCTTCTGGGTGTTTGGAACCCAGGAAGATGAAACTTGAAGGTCACTGCTTCAGTGACGTGTGATGTTCCTCACAACAGCGGTTTTGCAAAAGTAGTCTGTCACAGAGCCGGGTCACCAGCTTGTGACGGGTGACAATCTAAACTTATGGCATGAGTGTTACTGAGAACGAATAAACAAAAACAGGAAATTTACCTCTTTAAAACGCTGGACTGCGTGGCCTGAATATTTCTGTTGTTATAGTAGCTGCCACCCGATCATGGCTAGGAGTTTCAGTCCTGACCGACTATTTTTAAGCAGTTCAACTATAGTCAGTGAATTCTATGATCTCCGGACCATACACTGCTGTTTGAAATTATCGGTAGTTAGAGGGTCTGTGGAGGTTGTATTTGCATTCCTTTCGTCCAAAAAGTTCACATCCGATCCCTGATTTATTCCTTCGGTGAGTGAAAACACAGGACTCAAGTTTCCGTCTCATTAGACCTCATCTTTCTTCGGGTTTTGAACTCCAGACATGTGACATTGCCACTTATGCACCAGCGCAAACGGGATACATATGAATTCTCACCTCGAAACAGGTTAACATGTTCACGCTCCTGTGATCTAACTAGTTTGCTCGATAATTCCAATGATGTCGTCGATCTATTGACTCATCTGTTAGGACTTTCCAGTCAAGTAGGACCACGGGCGCCTGAAACCTGCCAGACAATTTTTGATCAACTGTACATGTTTGCGGTGTACGTAGAATTCACGTTCGAATCACTCTCTTCTGAACAGCCGAGTAGCATAATCATTCTGGTGAATCCAAACCAGAGGAACAAGCGTTGGACTCGAGTTTAGCCCTTACTAGGGCTCATCAGTCGTGCATATTAATGACCGTATTGGGGTCTGAAATCCGTACATGTGAACTACGATGCGAGCCACGCTGGACGCACCTAAACTCTCATGGTACGCGATAGTTTTTGAAAACGTTTCGAACGGCAGCCAAAATAAAAGAGAAGGATTCCTTTATGGAATGGAAACTTGGAATAGTTTGGTCAGGTGTTTTTCGCACAGTTGTTTATGCACTGATTTTGTTGAGCTGCGTCAACCTAGCTAATTTTACCGATAATCTGTCGAGCCCTCATTAAACTTTAGGGTCCTGATCGTCGTGTAAACCAAGTGTTATGAATTCGGAATACTTTCTGCTGCATCTTTCGAAACAGCGAAATAAGTGAGACGTTGATGTAAACAATATCCGGAAGATCACGACGTGAACATCAAGGTCACTTTCCTGATTGAGAGTGGTTCTATGATATTATCAAAAGTACAGTCTCGTCGGTCGGGTTAGAAACTCTCCATCAAGCGGAAAAACCGCAAAAAGAGCCCCCAGTCTCAAAAGAAGTGGTTTTTAGATTGTGCGTTAACATCCTCAGTAAGAAAACGTTCCCGGTTGGAACAAAGGTCATTGTTTTTTTTACAATAAATCATGACTCAGTCACACTGGGTAATTGAAAACAACTCACATCTAGGTCACTTCGTGTATTTCCACCCATTTGCAAGAAATCCGGGTGGATCTCTAGCCACGTAAACTGATTCCCACATATGAACTGTTCTGGGTTTGAACAACCTCAGTTGGTGTTTCGCTTGATGGCCTGTAGCTTCCAAGAAGACAAACCTCTTCTGTCATGGGAACAAGACGTGTTCTCCTGGCTCCGTAAAAGGGCTTGTTGTTTAAGACGTTTTTTGTCAGGAAATAAATGTTGGCCTAAACAATGATCGCAACCAACCTTGAGTCAAAAGCACAGACTAGCCAGGAGCCCTCGAAATTTTTTTGGTACTGTCACCAGCTACATGGATACATCTAACAAATTCATGAGGCCAATGCAATTGGAATCAAAACGAAAATAAACAGACTACTCAATAACCACTAGTGACTTATTAAGAGCAATTGTTATCAAGTAATAATAAAACTAACTAAAGTATTCTTGAAAATGATTGACGTTCTATCAACAATAAACTTTCGAGATAACAAGACAGGAAACAACATGAAGGATGATCGATTTGGGGGGTGGAGGTCGAGTTTCTGGAAGGCCTTCTTTTGATATTCATGTTTAGTAGTGGTTTTTGAACAAAGTCGCCTTTTCAAAAAAACATGAGAAACCTCCTGGGAGTTTTAAGACGTTGTTTATGTAAGAAAAATTTCAAACCGAAGTCCTTGTTAAGTAGCCGAGTTGGGAAAACGCCAGTGATATGAATGCAACTTCCAAACATCCCACAACCACCTACAGCTAATCAAACATTATCGAAATTTTATAGTGCTACCTGATTGTGAAGTCCTGGTAGGCATTTCCTGGGTGGTGACTCGAGTTCGGGAAACCAATCAGATCATCCGACCGTGGACATGATAATGAAGTAAGTTCATCGTGCGCTGGAGGGTGAGTCGTGACACATTTGTCAGGGAAACAACATTAGTGATGAATTCTAATAGGGACAAACCCCGAGTTCAGTGCGTCCAGCTCACCAGAATACTTGGCCGAGACAGGATGAATGTTCAAACGAGAGCGTTGTGAATGCAACTTCCGCTCTTGGTTTCCACAATGATAAAACTGTTTTCCATCACAGGGTGTTGTAACAGATGGGAAGCAACGTTTGTCTGGATAGTCAAAGTTATTTGAACCAAACAATGCGATATGATAAGCTGATATACAATTGTTGTTTGACATTTCCCGTGTCTAGCTGGCCCGGTGCTAAAGGAAGACGGAAGTACCTACCTGTCATAGATGGATAAGCATGCACAGTACTATTGTTTTTCCACACATCTCTGACTTTTCTGAGAACGCCAACCGAGGAAAAATCATGCTGACACAATGAGCAACATACAGGATACAACAAGCCATAACAAGAACTGCCCAGGGTGAAACACCGTCGAATTCATCAAGTCAGAACGCAAAAATCAAAGAGGTCGACTCAAAAGAACCCCTTTTGGGAAATTTTTGTTATCGTTCATGCAAAGTCTTGAAAACATCACACAATCCGCTCCAACCCAGTGAAACATTATTAAGGCCAAAACAAAATGCGTGAAGAACCGAACAGTTCATCCGAGTTGAAATTTCCTTCATCACGGGTTTATCAAGATTGTTAGAGAGTTCCCATCTAAAATGTGTCATCACTCCTCATTTGTTCCCAGATGATCGGAAGAAAGTGACCACGTCCATAATCTTGTGTCTACGATTCCCCAGACAACCTTGAATGGTTTCAGCCCGGACTTTACGCCAGGCAGTAGAAGAACTTGATAGCATGATGAAGGAACCAGAATTCTCTCGAGCAATATGATGTTTACGGACACGTTAACCTATGGAACAAACAAATCGTTTTCATGAACACTAATAATAAACGGAAGAGCATCGCTAGCTACGAATCTGGTGTCACCGTACCATCCGGAGTCTTTCATATATACATATTTATATTTCTCTATAAACCAGTGATTGTGAATCAGATCAGCAATCCTTTGCTGATTCCTGCAGGTCGTTCGAGCAGTGTCTCAAACCACGTGCATAATCCAAAGCCAGCCGCTGCGATTCCCCGTGGTATACTCCGGTCAGATGAAGCTTCCTGTAGTTTTTACCTCGCCTTCCCAGGCCTCTTGCTAATCTTCCTGAGAAGAAACATAAGAACAATAGTAATAAAGATAATCGCTCAGCTGTGATGCACTTTCGGTGCATGGCTGACATGGTGCCCGAAAGAAACAGGAGGGCTGAGATACTGCCAGATTGCCCAAGCATACGTTGGAGCAATAGAGATGTCCGGATTGGGTTTGAACCATGGGCATGCTGGTCAGTAAGCTAGCTTGCGCCATCTCAAGCTCTTCCAAGGAAAGTATTGTGGAATTTCAAGGAGGTTAGTGTTTGGCGTTCCCTCTTTACTCTGCTAGGTTATTCTCTGCGTTCTCGGCACTCTGTTACGCATTTCCATATCCATACTTTTACTCTGTGTATACACTCCTACACAGGTGAATTGCGTGGTACCCTTGCTCACCTCATTCCTGACGTGAGGACTTCGGGCGTACCTCTCTCACTTTCATATTAGGTGGCTGGCCAGACACAACATTCACACCCGAAGCCAACTGGTTAAAACATCTCCGCACCTCCATATAATCCACATAAATAATTCGTGATTTCACGGCAACACTGCTTCACACCCCGCGATTTACTGTGTGATGTTTATGTGATTTTTTACATTGATCTACAAAAGTCTTTAGGTAATTGGTAAACATCTGGGCTGCAGTGGCCTCGTTGTACTTTTTAGGACTGTGATTTGATAAAGGAGGTGATATGCAAAAATGCTCACTTCTGAGATGGAAAAGTTCGGCTTTCTGTCTAAATGACTGAACGGTTTATGCTTTTCAGGGTTGATGCAAAGATGGTCACTAGGCGCTAACCAACGATTATGACACTTAACTATGTAGTGAATGAGTTTTCAAGGGAGTCGACGACGAACACCAGTAGTCTGCTTCTGGTAAGCTTGAATTGAAAATTTTCCAAAGTGATAAATCACACAAAACCTTGGGGTTGAGACATCGGATTACAGTAAATCATAAACTCATTGTCAGGATCGGAAAAATGCCTTAGAAGACTAATTCATCCCGCATGACAGGACTATGTTAGACCTTGCGTGAAGATTTCTACTAGAGTTGGGTATTGGTCAGGGGACTGTTGGTCTGTTCGTGGAGCTTGACAATTGGCTTTACAGCACCACCAAACGTTGGATTAAGTATTCTGCATAAAATGACACAATACTTGCTTAGCATCTCATAGGGACATGTAGTCCAAATTGGAGAGTTGTCGGAAGGCCTGTGTGAATTCAAACAGTGCGTGAACGTAAATGCGGCTACCCATAGAAGACTTTAAGGCTTCCAAGCGCAACCGCTTTCGAGCCACTTCTAAATCCATGTATGTAAAAAAGTAGGGGACCATGTTTCCAGTCATACAATGGACTAAAAGATCGGGAAATTAAACAAACAAGTCATGCGCAATGGTAGGGTGATGGGTGACGTTTCTCGACATGAAATCCAACTACTCAAAGCTTTAAACAGTAGTGTGTAAATATCTCACAGTCATTGGAAGTGCGACTCACCACATGATAATATAAATAAGCTTCATCACCACTTCCTCTACGGCACGGAAGAACTCCACAACCACTTTACCTCGCTCGCCGATTTGACCAATGCACAGTCCGAACGCAATGGAGAAAACAATGAGACCTAGGAGTACACAAGAAAGCCAGAATAACAGGATTATCAGGTTATTGGACGAATTAATCTCAGGCGGAAGGACTAAAAATCATTGGTACTTGGAAAACGCAAATTCACGTGAGGGTTAGTTCGGCTTATTGAACAGACTGTCGTTTTCACTCTCCCTTTGTACGGTAGTGGTGCACAAGAAAGCCAGAGTAACAGGATTATCAGTGGAATAAAACGAATTAATCTCAGGTGGAAGGACTAAAAATCATTAGTACGTGGAAAACGCAAATTTACGTGAGGGTGATTTCGGCTTATTGAACGGACGGTCGTTTTCACTCTCCCTTTGTACGGTAGTCGTGATTCTGAATCGTCACACACATGAGCACCGGATGTGATCATCCTATCATTTCTGTGCCCGAAGCCGCGGGGGAAAAATTACCCGGAAAAACAAAAGTCAGTCTGTGAACCTGGCGTAAAGCAAAGCAAAGTGAATTTTTCCCCAACAGTCCTTAATAATGGCCTCATATTTTCACTTATCGCAGCGTTATACGTTATCTTGAACACTGGATGGTCCAAGAAATTAACTACTATCTTCACTGATATTCTCAGTTAGAAACTCGACGTGCACGTAAACCTACCGTAAAAGTTTTTGTGGTTATTTCGAACTGAACCCTCGCTAATTTCAAAGCAACCTTTGATTCATACACTCACTTGCATATCAATTTCGCTTTGACGAGTGTCATATCTTGAATCCAGATGAACCTCTCGTTTATGATGTTCTCGAATATTTTACCAGCTGAAACATGACACAATCTGACGCAGCATATGCTGTTGCTTAAGAATATCGTGACTGTCGAAGATTTTCCAGCAAACCTATGAGTCGTATATTTGGTTTTCCCGTGAGTTGTAACTAGTCTGAGAAATGCTGCTTATACATCCAAAGTTCTGTAGAAGATGTTATATGTATTGATCTGAGATACGGCTTGTTGCACCTTTGTCCACTTCGTCCCTCTGCAAGATCTAGCATTTATTTTAAATATATGTGAATTCTATCGTGGAATTCTATCGTGCCTTGTGGCGGTTACATCACCGAAGGTAAGCTAATATTCAACTACTTACAGATTTAATAAGTACCACGAATGTCTGACAAATATTTTGGGGGATTCTTCGGCTGAGATCGGAAAAGTTCTCGGAAAAGTTCTCGAAAACAACAGGCAGGCTTATTGCTGGACCACATTTCGCTTTTGACATGAAATATTTGTGAGGCTGATTGAACAGGTCACGAATTCGGTCAAGATTTAACGCGGAAGCAGAACCAATCTGCGAAGTCAGTTTAAATCGGTGGTTAGAGGATTTTTTTGTAGTGCGAATCAGCAAGTATGAAGAGCGATGGGGAACTGCACAGATTTGAGTCCATCTTGGGGTACAGCTATTCCGGGTTACGTCACGTGAAGCCTGTTCATGAAAGTCGTTTACACTTTTTGTCCGTTCTTGTGGATGAGCCAATGCTACGCTTGTGGTATAAGAAAGAGGGATTCCGTTAACTTTAGTCATGTTAGGATTTCTACCCCTCTTTGCTAATGCTTCTAAATTTACCGGCAACCACACTTTCACGGGTCAACTCGGTCTAGCTAATACGCTCACCATCTGAACAACCTCGATTTTATTCACACGTGATGCTTGGTTAGTTCCAACGCCTCAACCATCAACGGCTTTGGTGTGAATCGCAGTTCTCCTCTTAGGCCTGCTACATTTTTCAGGTCGATTCTGCGTCCTGTTTCTAACGTGTGTCCCGTCGGTGCCGAGTCTTTGATCACAGCTTGATGTCCATTCGCATACTCTGGTGGTTGGTTTATCCCTTTCTTATGCTCGCCAATCTTGGGATGCATTTTCCTGGCTTACGTAAACCTTAGTTCAATCGTTTTATTTCATTTTGCACACAGCCTCTAGTCCTTTCAACCGGGAGAGAATCCTTCAATTGTGCCAAAACTAAGATCAACCTTTTCCCTTCTAAAGCGTTCAGAAGTCTTCGAATATCCCCACATATTTCTGCTTTCTACGAACAATTTCTATCGATAACAAGTGTGATGCAATCGGACAGCAGCGTTTGTTTGTTCTCAATGGCACTGCAGGCATTTCCCGAAGTAGCAGCAAAAAACCGAATGGACAAATTCAAACCGGATAATAGAAATTCAGATATTTCTCAGTGTAGCTTATCACATATAAATGGGTTAGCACCTATTCTGCGCAGCGGCCTTCGGAGTGGTTCGATATAAATGGAAAATCCGAAGGCTGCTGCCATTCCACTGCGTGCGTATCAAACTGTGAGCACATCAGTGTTATAGCACTGGTGGTTTTGTCCGTATACACTCGGCAGAGAGCGTTATAACCTGTTTTGGAAATTCCAGTCTGGCTAGGTAAACCAGGCTCACACCGTTACTGACGTCGTAACACAGAAGGATTCGAACCGGAATTTAACTATCTCGCTTGTTATAGTTGGAACAAGACTTACCGAACTGTCTCTGCAAGGTAGGTGTGTACCATCAAAAGGATTCACGCGTAGCAGGTCAAACACGGTCTATATCGTACGCCCACCAGCCAGTCAGACAAAAAATCTATGCCTGGGCGGGTCCTACGCAATTAACCTATGCATCCCTTTCATACGATTAGTTCGTTGGTTTTCCTATTAACTTGTGCCTCACTTCTGACCTCATGACAGGGGTGCAGTTTTTGAAATTCCGTTTGTAACAGAACACTGATGTAACGGCGATACTACTGGTGGGGGCGTGCCAGTAGTATGTTTTCTCGTAAATCCGCTTGCGTCTCTTGAAAAAGGAGATCTATTACAGGATTTGTGGATTCATTCTGTACCATTTGCTTGCAATTGCGTGACAGTCAATAAATATCCAGGAAAGTTCAGGAAGACGCGTTCAAGGAGAAGATGGATATTCAGTTTTGTAAGCAAGATACGTATGAGAGTTCCGTTACATTCTGTAACTGTTACGTTGGCATTTTCTAATAAATAAAGCCTTTTTCCTTTCACTAGTATCAGTCAAAAAACAGCTATGGATATTCTGTAAGCAAGATACGTATGAGAGTTCCGTTACATTCTGTAACTGTTACGTTGGCATTTTCTAATAAATAAAGCCTTTTTCCTTTCACTAGTATCAGTCAAAAAACAGCTCAGCGCGAGAGAATGACCTGCCCGTTGAGTGTAACTTCCATCTGAGAAGCCATCACTCGAAGAACCAGTCAACAGATGAACAGATGATGTAGATCCCGTGATTCAAGGCTGGGTGGTGCCAAATCCGACCTAAGTGTGAGTAGATCACACTACGGCTTAGCCGCTTCTGGCTAAACGGTTAAGTTTTCAGATCACAGCCAGCTGAGAGGTCACGAGCTCGAGGTGATGCTCACTGTTGATGATTCCAAAGAAGGATGGAATAGCTGGACAGTACTTCTCGGTATTTGAGCACACACCGGGTTCAATTACAAAACGAAATCTTCACAGGAACACACAATGTACTACCGGGCAACCACACTGAACTGGAGTGAGTGAAATTTCCAGCCAAAATGTAGCACACATACATACCTAACACATTGGTTGAGTCGACGGAGACAAGAACCGCTTTTTCAACTGTTTCGGGTTGCATATCCGTCTGGTTTAGCTGAAACGACAAACAAGATTAACAGCAATATGAGGTACAAAGTAATGCTGCTGTTTTCTCTAGTTTTGTTTTCCCAAACAATCAGTATCCCAAAACCCGAATTCATTGCCTATCGAATTGATTTTAGATAAGAAATCAAGCACACTGATGGTGATGAACAATACATATCAATGGATGTATAATCGATTTCAAGTGAAATCGCTTCCCAATCAAATTAACAAAACCACAATACACCCGAGGATGATAAACTTGCCTTTCGACCGTAATGAACTGATTCTAGAAACAATCGTAACTCTAGTGAGAATACCGGGGAACTGGTTTCACTCATTTATTAATTCCTGACTGAAACTGAAAAATTTTCGGGTATAAAGTAGACTACTAATGCAGACCTACCAGGTTACCACCACCCAGTTATAAGACCGCCAATAATAATAGGTAATAATAATAATGATCGTTCAGCTCAGACACCGTTCCAGCGACTTAAATGCTGCAAAACTTCCAAGGCCCATAGGCAGTCCGCCAAAATGAAGAGATTGGGTTTGAACCTCCAATTCACTAAGTGCCAATGAGCCATTCCTAACCCACCGATACTGATGATCGAACGGTATTTGGATCATCTTCAAACTGTGTCAATCGGCGTGCAAAAAGCCCTTTAGGACAGCACCGTGAAAACAAATCGCGACTGCATTCATAATATTCCTGGCAAATGTGCCACACCCATATTTTATCAGATTTGTGCTTTCCTTCTGATATTTTATGTGAAACAACAGCTGTTCAGATGTCACAGTGGTTTGTAACATGTGTAATCTGCAACGACAAATTAAGATCATTTTTAGCTACAGATTTTCTTTGTGTACGACGCCCGAAAACATGAAGCTTGCGGTTGCCATATGCATTCACTGAGAGGCACTCAGCAGTGTACCTTGTTGGTGCTAGCCATCGTCTTCTGCGGTCTGATAGCAACACACTACTTGCACTTAGTATGTAGTAGTGAGGTTTGTATCCACAACACTTGCTTTTTAACCCTCCATTGGTTAACCCTCCATACTAGACAGCATAAACACTGAAATCCAACTTCACTCTGCTTACTTGACAACTGATATTTAGAGTGAGCATCGTATAGACCGCTCACTAGAGAATGATGAATGCACTTCATCGAGTTTACCCATGTAAACATCATCGCACTCCAGGGGATGTGTTCGGTTTGTACCACGATTCCCGTGAAGTCGGGTAGATCTGGAACCTGCTGGTGAGTACACTGAGGTGAATACCAGCTGAAGACATATTCAGTGACCTGTTCCTGTGCGTCTTCTTTCGATCACTTTGGGGTAGTTTTGGTACAAAAGTTCGCGACTTTTCAGCAATGACTGACTTCATTTGCAAGATTAAATATCGGTTGGAGGAAATTCCGAAATCTCCTTACATTGCCACAAAAAAGCAGTCCTCCAGGTGGTAGCACGCATCTTGTTTCGATAATCTGGTTCATACGTTCATAGGAAGCCTCAATACACGGCTGTTACCTTAACATGATCGGACCAAATTGTGTTACTGCTCCTTTGTAAGTAGTTTGGTGAACCGCGTGGGAAATTGGTTACACCGGAAGGTCTTCTCTTCGAACAAAATGTGTTTTCCCTATAGATACTGTGCAGTTCAAAGGAGTGCAACAAGTGAGCTCACGTCTAATGGCTTCTTGAAGTATTCGTTTGTAAAATACGAAGTGCTGAGTCCACTTAATCAACTTGATCAGGACCGCGAGAATACATCAGAATTTTCACCGCTGGAGAGCTTTTCAGTATGAACAAGATAAACAATATATATCGGACGTAAACCATAGGGCAAAAAAGTCGGACTACAGGTTCTTGTAGAAAATCTGGACGTGGAATGGCTACCCAGTAATCCTTATCCGAGTGGACTTTCGACTAGATGCCTAGGCGAACTCAGTTTCCATTTCCAATAATAAAGATAAATGATGTACTAGCAAACACATCTGGAACTGATGATCGGTGTGGATCTAGCTTTTCCCGCAGTCATTCACTTTAGCTTTGAGACTTTAGGCTCTTTGACCTGACGAAACCAATCCTTTGACAGCTTATTTCAGTTATCAGACCACTTGCAGCTGCGGTGACGTTTATGTTAAAAGAACAGACCGCCTTCCCTTCAAGGGACTGGTGATAACACAGCAAGGTTCTTTATTCGAGCTGGGAGACAACAGCAGTCTTATGGTCAATTTACAACCCGGAACACGACATCACCGACTGAAAGGTACTTGTTCATTACAGGCTACCCCGTTGTCCCTATAGGGTCTTTTGCAATACTGCAATTCACCAAGGTGGAATCCAGTGAGGCAGAGTTGAGCCACTCGCGAACCTTACTGACCGGAAAACTATGGCACTAATCTCACACTTCCGATAATATCTTTGAGCGTTTTCTTTGTCGCTATCATGGACCAAACCCATAAATATCTGTTCAGCTTAGACAACTGCCGAAACTGAGGGAAATGTTCACATACCATTAACCTTATCTCCTTGCCATTAGGACCCTTTGGTTAAATTGAACTGATTCTGTGTAATGTTGTACGGGTTTGTTCACCTACTACGAAATGTTCGTTTCGTAGATGTGGGCATTCGGGTCCACAAATGCCCTGAGGCTAGAATGAAAAGCAGGTCTGCTTACGGACGTAACATACTACTCATAAGGCCATTGAAAACTCTTTGTCTGTTCATCACTCCCTACACATTTCCACGCTTATCTACCACACCGTATTTCGACTTTATTTTATACAAAGAGAGATCCTTGTACTCGCGCCTGTTATGCGAGCCCGACACTTACGTTACTCGTGTTCCGTATCACGGTTGTACTGACGATGCGGGTAGCCACCTGGTGTGTCATGGACTTCACAATATTATCCGGTAACATATTTCTAAAATAAAGAGTACGGGATGGTATACAAGCACGCAGAGAAGAGCTAGTTTCGATAAAATCAAAATTGTCTAATTGAAATAAAAAATTCCTCACATATCGGACAGGTGGAAATACGGCAACCGCTGTGCAACTTGGTTGAAGCGTGAAGGACCTGTTGCTAGGCGGATCCGTACATCTTTTCAAGAACGCTGTGCAATTGGTTGAAGCGTGAAGGACCTGTTGCTAGGCGGATCCGTACATCTTTTCAAGAAAAATGCAGTTTACCAGCACTTCTTTGGTAATGGCAGCATGGTAGTTCATTCCGTTTCCATCCGTAAGATATTCAATGTAACCTATAAACTAGCCTAAGCCGCTTTTAGTTTCGGCCGTCTTAATGAATAACTGATACTCCACCTTTGTTGGCATGACAGACAGACAGCCGGCAGAGCAACAGTCGAAAATACCACAAGCCCTGGTTTTCCTAACCCTCTGGATCGTTCCGTAATTCTCACACTGGCACACAGGACGCATACACACACACAAGTATGCACACGCAAGCACACACGCACACATGCGCACGGGCACGAGCCAGCATGCTCAGTCTGGCAATTCACTCAGTTCGATTATCGCTCACATTTGAACTCCTTACTTAATCGACTGTAATTCTGAACGCGTGAGCCTTTGTCCCTTGCTTTAGGGAGGTTCGGCCTTGGACTGAGTGGAATAAACCCAATCATGACACGTGGTCCTTTGGGCGACCAGACTGTGAGCATCCTTTTTCATAATTTTATTTTGTCCAACCTGCAGATCTAAACTGACACTCTGATCCTAGGTTAAGCACAAACTGAACTGGGGTCTTTTTCAGGTAAGCCGCGCCACTGATGCAAAAAGTGCATGTGCGGAAAGTTAAGCCCCGCCTCACTTTTTGCCAGCTCCAATTTAATGTATACGCACACAACCTTCAGCTATTTTTAATGAAAACAATTCTTCATCCGCATTTAGGCTCATTTTGTGCAAAAAGTTTCTCCGTTCGGACGTAGGACCTTAAATGAACTTTCTGACGCTTTCAAATCTCGTTTATGGCAAGAGGACCGTAATACGTTCTCTGCAAAGCCACGGAGTGATGCATCAGCAACGATTATGCAACAATGACCACCAAATGACACTTTCAACTGCTTCTGACAGGTGGTGTAATGCCCGACAGTCGGCAAGAAATCGGTCTTCGAAAGGGGACTTGACTGGAACGGTCCAGGATGGAGTTTAAGACAGTAATTCTATTCATTTATTACTGGTCCAAAAACTTGGCTAAAATCAAATTCTGCCCAGAGGAATCTATTAGCCACACGACCGCTGTTGACTGGAAGATCTTTCTTCGCGAAGTTTGCGCCTGGCTGCTTTTGCAGACTCCAACGGTTAATCATACAGGAAACTTTGTGGATCCAACGACTGGAGCTCCCACACAAACCACCGAATCTCTTTGGCACGTTCACAAGATGCAGAGTAAACGCCAATGCGGCACACACCGATCTTTAGTGGGCAACTACTTGTGTGAGTTCGTTTGGAGGCAAAGCTACTGAAAACGGATCTTTTGACGCAAATTAATAATGACATGTCCCAATTTCACCCTCTTCAATAAAGCTAAAAGTAGAAATTTCATATCCTCTTTTTTCTAAACTTTTTTGGGTGGCGGGAGTTGATTTTTTGGCGGGGCTTATCTGGAAAAGATCCCTGAACTGCGTGACTGAAAGGAGCGTAATGCTATATCCGGCTGGGTCAGAAGGCAATCAGAGAACTAATCCGGAAGAGTGTGTATAGCCCATGATTGCCCTCAAAGGTGAAGACAGCCGTACAGTGGTTTTTAACCAGTTGGCGTCAACTGACTCTGCTAGAGGGGGATGGTCCGTATTTGAAGCCAGGACTGAGCTCGACTGAATATCAGGGGTAAATTTACGCACAGCGTAGGATATTCCACAACGGTATTTTAGGTCAGCAAACGAACCAACGACCATCTAAGCTATCTGAGCTATCAACATTTTTCTCTGTAGAAAAGCTAGATTTCTTCCAGTTAGCGGAAAACTCTTCAAATTTTCCGGTGAGCAGAGATGATTAGACGCCGGACGGAAACCAAACCTTTGTGCGCGGAAATAAGTAATACTATCACTAGGTCTACTTCAAAAGGCTTGGTATGAGAGGATTACGGAATCACCCGTCTAGTCCAGTCTCCTCCTGAAGATGGTAAGTGTGCTTTATGCATTGATACTGGTGGCATATGCTGGACCAAACCCAATCCAGTGGGTGGCAGCATCCGACTATTAAGATGCTTACTGGCTAATGCCCGATTGCAAGAAATCCTCCATCAAGATACTAAAAAACGACTTCTCTCCGTTACCACTTCTCCGTACAACTAGCTGAAACGGTTCTGAATGATTTCGATGAAGTCAAATCTGTGTCACATTCGGTGCCTACCTGTCATGACATCCGAAGTAAGCGCAAGGGCTGAGATGCTGTCGGGTTATCAGAGCCTAGACAGGCGCAGCCTAGATGCCCGGATTGGATTAGCACCAAAGACCTCCCCGTCACTGAGTTCACGCCCTCACTAGTAAGCTAACTCGAATGCAGTAGGAAGTTTACCACAATAGGACGCGGATTTCGGAAATCTCAGGGAGAGGGTTCAGCGTGGTCCGCATAAACTGAACAAATTTCTGAACGGACATGTCTAGGTCGGACATGATTCCGAGACAAACGTAGGCAGCTAACATCCAGCACAAAGTGTCCTCTTCCGCCGCTGTTCAGGCTCAAGTCTGCTCCAACCAGTCTACTGATCTACATACTTCCAGAAAGATGCAAATCGCTTGGTTTCTCCACTTTGGTGTACTATATAAACCATCCTCTATACTCTTCAAAACATCCAATTCACTAGTATACTCAGTCTGTGTAATTGCGGGAACCTAATCCAGTTACGTTTTAAAAAATCCAACGTTGATAGCACGGCTGTTTACCGTTGCTTACCCACTGTATCAAAGTATCGCTCTGTCCCTGCTCCTTTGTGCGACTTCCTAGATATTTGAAAAGCGCATTGCGAATTTGTACCTCCAACCATAATCAACAGGCTCGTTAAACGCTGTCGACAGGTGTCAATCCATGTATTGAGGCCGAAGCCACTGGTATTGATGTGTAACTTTTGGGCTAGTAGACCAGTTTTCGCCAGAGCATCGCCAAATGTTGGGGCTGTGACATGTTTAGGAGGCAGGCTTT